TTCACAGGAAAATTAATGGAACTAGAAAAATCATCCCCTGAGTGAGGTAATCCAGACACAGAGGTACAAATATTGTATGTACTACAATTATAAGTGGAATAATAGCCACTACGTAAATGATAATCAAGCTACAATCCATACATGCAGATAGGTTACATAAAGAGGTGGGGTCTAGGAGGAACCCAGGGATCTCCCTCTGATTGGGAAATAGAATATATTTTATGGGCAGACATGAGTTAGGTAGGTATGGGGGCATGTGGGCATTGGGTGGAGTTGGGGGATGGGGTAAAAGGAGAAAATGTGTGAAGAGATAGATGGAATTGAGGTGGAGATTTTGGGAGCTGTGTGGAAAACTTGTGCAGTGGAAATTTTCCTGTAGTCTGTGAAGTGATCCTATTGAGTAGTCCTAATAATAGGATGTACAGAGCATCAACTGGCCATCCATTGTAGGCTGCATTCAATTGATTAATTGGCAAAGGGAGTCTATGGAGATCCCTAAACAACTCAGGCTGTTGTTAAGATAAAATGGTTCTCTCTGCTGAGGATAACACAACTCACTGAACATGGGAAAACTGAGATAGTACCTGCATGGAGCCCTTACCCCTAGGTTATAGTCTCTTTGGTATGTGAAGGAATTTTCTTTGGGGGGAGGGAACCCGTTTTACTACCAAAATAGAAATGTAGATACCAACCCTGCCACAAAACCTTCGTCCTACAATCTGTCCCATCTGTAAAATATGCTTAGGTAATGGTGCCACAGAATTTGTGGGAAGAGCCAGCCACTTCATGAGAAGGAACTTACAGAAGACACTGCTTGTGTTACAAGAACAAGAGGCTGCATGGCCCAGAGATAAAGGATGAAATCAAAGACGACTGGTCTAAAAAGAATAAAAAAGTCAATAAAATGATTTGCAATGACATTCTGCTATACTCAGATCAGTCAGTGCCTTATCTAGTCGCCACCGAAGAGGCTTTGCTTCAGAAGCAGATGGGAACAGACACAGAGACACAAGCCAGACGTTACAGAGGGGGAGCATCTGAATTGGAAGTCTCCATCAAATCTCTCCCCTCAGAGCTCAGGGAATCCGGAGGAAGAAGAGGGAGAAAGATTAGCTGGAAGACATGTAAGATGCCAGAAAAATATGGCCTTCTGAGTAAACCAGGATGCGTATGAGTTCGCAGAGACTGAAACTGGAATCTCATGACCTGCTTATCTTATCTTATTGTATTTATGGTATTCCTCACTGTGAGAATGAAAACAGGCAGGTCTCTGGCTCTTGTACCTGCTCTTGGACTCCTTCCCCTCCTGTTGGATTGGCCATGTTCAAAACCAATATAGTTTTTTTTTGCTTCATTTTATTTTTCCATGTTTGATTTTTCTGTTCTTTCCTAGTGAGAGGCAGAATGGGAGTGGATCTAGAAGGGAGGGGAGAGGTGAGGAGGTGAGGAAGGAAAGGAAGGAATAGAGGGAGGGAAAATTATAATCAGGGTCATCTGTATGAGAAAAGAAATTATTTTCAATTGAAGAAAAAAATCTAGTAAAGAATAAACAATAGTGACCTAACTAAATGAAAGAAGTAAAGTATGATCATCCTAGGTATTTCTAGAGGAAGGTTTTTCTCATTTAGCCTGATATTCACTGAATTTATTAGGCTGACTGAGGAGGAAACTCCAGGGATCTTCTGTTTCTGGATCATCGATGTTTGAATTACAAGCACATGCTTCAATAACCAGTTTTTGTAGGGTGCCTGAAATCTGAATTCCTCTTTTCTCGATTATCCAGCAAACACATTGTAGAGTCCATTTCCCAGTTCTCCTCATTCACATTTGAAAAGAATACTCAGAAAGTAATTATAGTCATACTATCACCTAAGATGAAATACATACGTAGGAATAAATGCACCATGGTAGTTTAAATGTAAATGGCCCCATAAGCTCATAGTGAGTGACAATATTAGGAGGTGTGGCTTTGTTGGCGTGGTCTTTCCACTGTGTCACTGTAGGGGTGGAATTTCAGGTCTCATATATGCTGAAGCCATGCCCAGTGTCTCAGACCACACAAGATGTAGAAAACTCAGATTCCTATCCAGCACCATATCTGCCTGCATGCTGCCATGTCCCACCATGATGATAATGAACTAAACTTTAAGTCATTCCCTTAAACTTTTCCCTTAGAAGAGTTGCAGTGGCCATGGTATCTACTTACATCTACACAAACCCTAACTGAGAAAAGTAAGAGGAAGATTGAAGTCTTGTATGCTAACATAGGAACTGATCTTTAAAATAGACTTAAACAAGTGAAAAGTAATTTCATGATAATGGATAACTGAGAAAAAATTGTAAGATGGCAAATACTGTTTAAAAAACTCAATGGTATCTGTTGTAGAACATTATTTTTAAGGTGTACTAAATTTGTTTATGCTCCAGAACATTTTTTAAAGACATGTTGCATTTCTTAATGCTGCATTTGTTTAACTCTGTTAGGTTGTGATTCTTTGCCTGTCTAAAATACATGATGGCTTAATAAAGAGCTGAACAGTCAACAGTGAGGCAGGAGAAAGGATAGGCAGGGCTGACAGGCAGAGAGTGTAAATAGGAGTAATATGGAAGAAAAAGGATCGAAATAGAACAAGGAGAGGAACACATCAAGGGTCAGACACCCAGGCAGCCACTGAGTAAGAGTGAAAGTAAGAGACACAGAACAAGGAAAAGGAAAAAAACAGAGGCAAAAGGCAGATGGGAAAATTGAAGTTAAGAACAGCTGACTGAAAATCAGCCAAGCAAAGGCCGGGCATTTATGAGTAATAATAAACCTCTGAATATGTAATTTATTTGGGAATTGGGTGGTAGGCCCCCTAAAAAGTAAGGAATAAAAGAGTAAAAGAAAAAAGGAAATACAGGAATCATTATCCAAACAGGAGCATCTTCAAATTATTAAAGATATATATGGTTCTCCAAGTAACAAAAACAAGAAATTCAAATTTATATACATCAGTTTTCAAACTACCACAAATGTACATTAGTTAAAACAGTCATTAGGCTAGGTACACAAACCAGTATCAAGTAGAATAGAATTAACGGTCTGAAAGAATGATCCCCCATGGAAGGCCTCATCCTCCCCAGAGGGTAGATGGCATTGGGATGGGGTCACTGGGAAACATGGGAGGATGGGAGGAGAGGAAACTGGAAATGATATGAAAAATAAGATTGTTTCTAAATTCTGTGGTCTGTGGATATTTGACCAGTGTACTGAATTTCACTGGACAGAGAGTACTCTTTTTACAGGTAGCCCTGTGTAAACAGTATTCTCCCAGGCAAATAAGATGGAACCTGTCACTACACATAGAAATTCACTCCAAATTTACCAGTGATGCAATCATGAGAGCCAACATGATAAGACTCTTAGAAGAAGGTGTGTAAGTGATTTTGCTGATATTGCACTTTGCAGTAATCTATTGTTTATGACACCTAAAATTAAGTAGCTGGAGGAAAGTTACATGAGTTAATACTTATTATAACTGTGATTTCTTGCATATCCCAGAATATTGTCAAGTAACTAAAAAGATGACCTTAATAAGGAAAAATATTATCATTCATAAAGATACATGACATGCCTCTATTCAGCAGGCAAATGACAAAAAAGCCTTCTAAATTTCAATTGGTAGATAGGTGGATAGACATTTCTCAAAACAATCCATGAAACTGGCTATTTAGCACAAAACCATTGGGAAAAGGTTCATTGAAAGCACATTGAGGCATCAGTTAAATGGATCAGCAAATAGAGGCACCGGTTACCAAGCCCAAGTATCTGAGTTTAACCGTTGGGTGCCATAAATGGAAATCTAGCTGACTTGTGTACACTTGAAAAGAATTCCATTGTGTATATATACAACATTTTAGTCTGCTCACCTGCTGAATGACACACGGGGTGGTTCCATTTCATCATTATTTTGAAAAGTGCAGCATTGAGTGTGGTATGTTCACTTGGTGTCTGTTGGGTGCCTCTCAGAGACTGCCACAGCTAAATCACATGTTGATTCTAGTTGTTGTTTTTTTTCCCCCCCCTCGGGAACCCTCCTAACTATTTTCATAGCCCAGGGACAATTTTAACTGTCCACCACAGGGAAAAACTCTTCCTCATTCTCCACATTCTCACCAGTATCTGCTGTCATTTATTTTCCTGGAGATGACAAATGCATTTCAAAGATCCTGACAGCAAAGGAAAAAATTACCAGAGAGAAGAAAGAGCCTACTGAATGTGAAAAGATCTCTACAAACTTAACATCAGATGGTGGATTAATACATAGGATATATAAAGAACCAAAAATATAAAAAAATAATAATCTAAGCTGGGTGGTGGTGGTGCACACCTTTAATCCCAGCACTCGGGAGGCAGAGGCAGGCGGATCACTGTGAGTTCGAGGCCGGGCTGGACCGACAGCCTCCAAAACAATACAGAGAAACCCTGTCTTGTAAAACCAAAAAAAATAATAATCTAATCATAATAATGTTAATAGACAGTTCGCAAAACAAGAAGTACAGATGTCCAATAAATACTTGAAAAAGTGTCCAGTATCTGCTGTCATCAGGAAAATGTAGATTAAAACTAACTTGAGATTCTACACCACCACAGTGAGAATAGCTATCATACAATAATAACAATTTTAACATAGTTCCCAAGATTAATACAATAAACATGAAAGGGTACATGCTAATTCATTATAAAGACAACACATTTTTAATTTATGTTTGAGCATATTGAGTCAAAACAGATAAAACTGTCTGGGCATGATGTGCCCAGTTGAAGCTGGATAAAGGTTGCCATGGATTTGAAGCCAGTTTCAGAAACAAATAGTTTCAGGGAGCCTGCAGATTCTCCACTCCTGACTACATTTCCTAGAATCCTCCGTGACTCTTAGTCCCACATATTTTATTTCCCTATTGGGCAACAGTGCTTTACTTATCAACCAATAGTACAACATATACACAGAAGGACTTACCCCATCAGAAGGTTGCCATGGATTTGAAGCAAGTCTCAGAAACAAATAGTTCCAGGGAGCCTGCAGGGACAGACTGACATTCAGAGTTGCTACCATGCAGACAGACAGACAAACAAAAACCAATGAGGACAACAAAGAAAAAATTGGAATTCAAAGTCGATGATACCTACTTAAAACAAAATCGAAATAAAAGAAAAAACCAATCAATTAGGAACTAATATAACATGTATTAACAAACATACACATAAATAATGTATGTAAACATTTGGAAAAAGGAAAACCTTGTAAGAAAAGATGAGATAAATAGAAACAGTTTAGTAATATTCATGAACTACCGATTAAATTTGAAGAGCAAATTATTATGGATATGTACAAATAATGGGTTGCCGAGCAAATGTGAATTGCCGTACTATTCCTATGCATCAGGATACAGGCTTGGCTTAGCTGGAGTCTCTAGTGAAGACTGAGATCAAGTTGATACTTAGTATGGGGTATCCTTGGAAAGTCTGAATGGAGCAAGACCAGTAGTGCTAGGTTCATATCAGGGTGGATAGACTATAGTTCCTTCCTGAATCATTACCAAAGGCATCCCTGGCATGGTGACTCACTGCATGAATTTCAGCAGAAAGGGAGAGCTAAAGAGGTGAAAATCAAAATAATTAATATGCTAACAAGTCCCTCTAATATTTCAAAATATTCATATAAATATAACTAAATTCAGTTATATACTATGTACTTATACCCATACTCATAATTTTAGTTATAGCACCATTTAAAATGCACTCATGTTTTTAAAATCAGGAACTTTATAAATTATTTCCATAATGTATGATTGAAATAGGAAAAACCTGATAAAGACATTTGAAGGTGCAAAAGTATATATTATATAAAGTCCCAGTATGATAAAAAATATCAGGAAATGTGGACATTTATATATACTTTCATATGTATGTATTCACAAATGTTGCCCATGTTTATATATGTGTTCACCTATGTATATGCAGATATGCATCCAGTGTGTATATATGTATGTATCTTTGTATGTATATATGCATGCAAACATTACAAATAATACATTGTCAATTAAAAACAACAAGTGTAGATAGAGAGACAACATCTGGAGTGTACACTGAAAATTCAAAGCTTGTTTACCTGTTAGAGATCAATGCAGCCAGGACATATGACAAGAAAAGCAACAACATTCTTGATTTGAGTTTTACCCTTGCTCCTTTTTCGTAAATGAGCAAAAAATTCCCAACTCAATGTGAAAATGCAGGATCTTGTGACAACTCAACTGGAGCTCCAACAGAGAGCCAAATAGCTCTGCTTGGTAAGGTGTGCCATCCAGACTCTTTAGGCTGAATGAAAGCCGTGCCATCTATTTCTCTAAATTTTTGTCTTATTTTGCTTTTGATTTTCAGGACAGGGTCTCTGTGTGTAGCTTTGGCTGTCCTAGAACTAGCCCTGTAGACCAGGCTGGCTTGGAACTCAGAGAGAGCAATCTGCCTCTCTCCCAAGTTCTGGCATTAAAGGCCTGTGCCACACCACCCTTCTATCTATTTCTATATGTTTGTGTGCATGCAATAAACACTACCACATGTCTAACATTCAGAGTCTCACACTATGGCACTTAGCTGCCTGAATTTACAGCTGTGCAACAGACCCTAATGATATTCATCTTACCTCATATTTGTGTAAACAATGTGGTCAGACCAGCGATTAGGTCTATCCAGATGAAACACATCCATCTTTTTTGGCTTAGCTTTGGCTCAAAAGGGAAAGTACATTTCTCATTCTTTTGTGAGATCCTCTAAGTCTCAGAGGAAACTGAACATTCAAACCAAAATACTCTGAATAATTTCTATGCTTACAGGTTGTTCTCATGATCTCAATCTCCAGACTTTGACATCTTTTAAAATTTAATTCCATCACTGAAAAGGAAGCACCTATCTGTTTTGTTATGCAAATTTTACCCAGTTTATGTCTCTAGGCATGTGCCCTTTGGAATCAGAGGGCTTCCTTATGTATAAGTCATTAAATACAAAAAAAGTTAGCAGTTCATTCATGGATCCATGGTTCCATAGGTTGAAGCAAAAGCTGATGTTCTTAGCCATAATAACTTTACTTTTTCAAATATATTTTAGGCTATTCCTTTTTAAAATTTTCTCTTAAGTGCTTTTAAGGTTATGGAATGTAAATCATGAAAAACTTGCCATGTATTTTTCATTACTTAGGAAGGACACACCATCTGATTCTTATAGTACATATAATTTTCCAGAGTCCAAGGCCAAAGTGTTGCCAATATTCCTTTTGCTCCTTAAAAACGAAGTATTTCTCTTCCGCCCTGTTTGTACCATTATCTGCATCCCCAATTATCTTCATCATTTTACATGTATATCACATCATCGTACTGGTCTTATTTGAAATGTACATCTTGTGTATTGCTATCTGCAGCTTTACACTGCTCCCTTTGCTCTCTCTCTCTCTCTCTCTCACACACACACACACACACACACACACACATTGCTCTCTCCCTCTCTCTCTCCCTCCCCCCCTCTCTCTCTCTCACACACACACACACACACACACACATTGCTCTCTCCCTCTCTCTCTCCCTCCCCCTCTCTCTCTCTCTCTCCACACACACACACACACACACACATTGCTCTCTCCCTCTCTCTCTCCCTCCCCCTCTCTCTCTCACACACACACACACACACACACTGCTTCAAAAGTATGTACATTCGTTGTTAGCCTAAAAGCTCTGGAATTGTCTTTTGTTTCTCTGTTGATGGTGCTGGCTACTGTGGATACACAGTGCACAGAGCCCTGAAATATTCCAGGTCCTGCCCTAAGTCCATTCTGCGTCAGCCTCTTTATTGCCGGCCTCCTTTCTTATGGCTACATATGCATTTTTCCCACTAGAAATCTACCAATTTCTACAATTCTACAAATTAGGTCATCTTACCTGCTTAAGAACAGAGGAACACTAATTCTTCTTAGGCCACTGTGACTTCCAGTCACTGCCTCTTCACTCATGTTTCTCTTATGGAAATATGCACTCTTGTCAAACAAAGCCCCTCAATCTTTGTAACCAAGCATCACACCTTTTTTCTTTGTCTGTGTTAAAAAATGAGCCATTTGCCTGACACTTCTTGCATTTCACGGTTGCTGACCCAAGCTCGGCAAAGCACAGTTGCACGAGATGGAGTGTGTAACTGGGCAACATGGAATGCTGTCCAAAATGTTATTGGAACCCAGCTAATATATGAGGAAAAAAACACAAGGAAAGACCATGAATAGAAGTGCAGTACATGATCCTGCCTGAGCTCCTAGGCAACAGCTAGTGTTGATTCTGTACTGTGTTAATGGGTCTTCACCTACTAACTCAAGCCTTGTGAGAGGCCTCAAAGAGAACCAGTCAGAGAAGTCCAGACAATATCTGCAGCTCTATAAATTAATAACAGCGTATATTCCTACACCACCACTAATTTTGGAGAAGATATGCATGAAGTAATAACTAATTAGAATTTGCGCTATGGCTATGCCTTGACTTCTAACTTCGGACCCTGAGGTTCACAAATGGATATCCAGCTGCTAACTGAGGCTTTCTCTGTTTCTGGTAGGCATATACAGCTCTGCTTGGCTAGCTAAATCGAGCCCATCGTCTTCTACAAGGACAGCCTTCTCCCAACACTTTGCATCCCACTGGACAGTCACCCCACAGTTGCCAAGAGCTGGTGTGGCTTATTGATTCTCCTCTCATTAAAAACACCTGCTTATTTCTAAACAGAACCTGTCTGCATTCCTGAAGATGACGTCAAACTGGTAATTCTCCTGTTTCAGACTCCCAGCTGCCTGTAGTGGCACATGTATCTTGCTCTGCTTAGCTTTCATAAGTCCTTGCAGGTGATTACATTGAGCAAAAGAAGAACAACATATTCTACAGTTCTATGCACAACTACTGAGTACTCACCATAGTTCTGATGTCTTTCTGGCTGAAGTGTTGGATTCATTCACCTGACCTCATAGTACTTATTCTAATTCCAGTAAGACCAAAATCTGGTCACCAGTCATTACAACTTCATAGAGCAAGCTCCTCTTTGTCTAGACCAACTAGCGATTCTGTCACACTCTGCATATTCCCATGACAGAAAGGTTCAAACTGTGTTTCTGTATTAGTATGCGAGTGTGAGCTTGTGAGTTTGTGTGTGTGTGTATGAGAGAGAGAGAGAGAGAGAGAGAGAGAGAGAGAGAGAGAGAGAGAGAGAGAGAGAGAAAGAGAGAGAGGTGATATATAAGCTGTATCATGTGACTATACTAGAATGTCCTTCCCTTTTAGGGAAGTGCTCAATTTAGAATTACACATAGCCCCCTCCTGAGGATAATCTACTAAATTATGTGGCACTGCATGTATTTCTAAGGCCACATTTAAAGCATGTAGGACAAAGCCAGAATATGGCCAATGCTCAATGAATAGCAGTGTAATCAGAGAACAGTTACTATAATTTTCTGTTTGAGTTGATAAAGACATTTTCTTCATACAGTCATGAAAATGAGCTGTTCCTGGTGACATAAGGCCATGAGACTGAAGTAGGAGAGTCACAGACGTGAGGACACCTCTGGCTACACATGAGATCCTCTGAGAATCTGAAGGAAGGGAACTACGCTGCAGCTCACTCGTCCATGGGTTAAATTTAATGGACAAATACATTAGAGTAATGAAATGTAAAACAATTTTGTACTTAGTTTGAAATGAAGAAAATTTCAAAAGTCCATTCTCAGTTCTGTATCGTATGAAATGTATCTTTCATTTTCAAAGTTGCATAGAAGTAATTAAATGCATTATCATCAGCCATCCTAGAGCATGTTTGTCTGTGACATAAAATTTAAATCCAAATTTAATTTTAATGTAGACTTCTGTGTCTACATTTATGTGGTATCTCATTTCTTATACGTCAGGTTATGTTTGGGTCATCGCTTTGTTTCAATGTTGTAACTTCTACATTCTATATTTACAACAAAAGACTACTTATACACAGACATTAGAAACACCTTTAGTGTTAG